CAAATTTTTGCCACACACACATCAAATAAAGCACCAATCTGTAGGATATATAAAGAACTCAAAAACCTAACATCAAAAAAACAAAAAACAAAACAAATAACCCAATCAATAAATGGGCTTGGAGCTGGGGTTGTGGCTCAAGTGGTAAAGTGCTTGCTTAGCACCTGTGAGGCACTGGGTTCAATCCTCAGCACCACATAAAAAATTTTTAAAAAAGATATTGTATCCGCCTAAAACTAAAAAATAAATATTTAAAAAAATAAATTAATTAAATAAATAAATGGGCTAAGGAGCTGAACAGACACTTCTCAGAAGATATACATTTGAACAACAAATGTATGAAAAAATGTTCAACATCTCTAGTAATTAGAGAAATGCAAATCAAAACTACTCTAAGATTTCATCTCATGCCAGTCAAAATGGCAATTAACAAGGATACAAGCAACAATAAATGTTGGAGAGGATGTGGGGGAAAAGGCACACTCATACACTGCTAGTACAACTGCAAATTGGTGCAACCAATCAGGAAAGTAGTATGGAGATTTCTCAGAAAACTTGGAATGGAACCACCCTTTGACCCAGCTGTCCCACTCCTCAGTATATACCCAAAGGACTTAAAATCAGCATACTATAGTAACACAGCCATATCAATGTTCATAGCAGCTCAATTCACAATAGCTAAACTATGGAAGCAACCTAGATGCCCTTCAATAGATGAATGGATAAAGAAACTTTGGTATATACATATACAATGGAATATTACTCAGCATTAAAAGAGAATAAAATCATGGCATTTATAGGTAAATGGATGGAGTTGGAGAATATCATGCTAAGCAAAGTAAGCCAATCCCAAAAAACCAAAGGTCCAGTGTTCTCTCTGTTAAGTTGATGTTGATCCATAACATGAAGTGGGGAGGCATGGGAAAAATAGAGGAAATTTGGGCAAAGGGAAGGGAGAGGTAGGGAGGGTGCATGGGGGCAGGAAAGATGGTGGAATGAAATGGACATTGTTACCCTAGGTACATTTATGACAGCACATATGGTGTGACGCTACATCATGTACAACCATAGAAATGTAAAGTTGTGCTGTAATTGTGTACAATGAATTAAAATGCATTCTGCTGCCATATATACCTAATTTAAAAAACAAACAAAAGATTAGAAGTAGAGAGATAATTAAGTTGTAGCTACACAAGTGTGAAGTGATGGAAATTTTTTCCACACCTATTTTATTGATGCATTATAGTTGCACACAATGGGTTCTGTTGCTATATAGTTGTACATGTACAAAATAACAATATAATTTGACCAATAATGCTCCCCAGCACATACCCCCTCCCTCCCTCCCTGCCTTCCACTCTTTGGTCCCTGTCCTCTACTGATCTCCCTTTGATTTTCATGAGAAAAATCCCACCTTTCTTTTCCATTTTCCTCTTGCATATGAGAGAAAACATACAACCTTGACTTTCTGAGTTTAACTTATTTCACTTATCATAACTGTCTCTAGTTCCATCCATTTTCCTAGAAATGAAGTTTCATTTTTCTTTATAACTGAATAAAACTCCAATGTGCATATATACCACATTCTTTTTTATCCTTTCATTCACTGATGAACACCTAGGCTGGTTCCATAGTTTAGCTATTATGAATTGTGCTGCTATAAAAATGTTAAGTGATGAGAATTTGAAATACAGTTCAGCAATATTCCACTGTCTTTTGCAAACTAGCACTTCCAGTTTCTTCTGCCTTAGTTTCTGACCATCTAGTCTGAAGAGGTAGCTGGGCATGCCAGGACAAGACTGCCCAGCAATGGCAAGGAAGTCAGGGAAGGGCACAGACACAGTTACACAGAGAATGTAAATAATATAACCACTATGAAAATCAGTATGGAGATTCCTTAAAAGACTAGGATTGGAAATGAGATAGGAATTTAGTAATACAGAAAAATAAAAATATACTGAGTCTCAAAAGAGAAGAGCCTATGAACCTTTGGAATACAAGAAAACACTTAGAAACCTCTGGAATACAAAGCAAAAAAATTCAGACCACACCCCTGACCCCATAAATTTGCCTGCAAAAAGTAACATGAAGGCAATGTACAAGTGCTAGAAAAACTAGCACAAAATTGTGCAACTTATCTCTGCCTCTACCATTAATTCAGCCCCTAGCTACTACCCCTCTATAAATAGCACCACATTCTGGAGAATATATATATATTGCTCACATTACCCGCAAAGCTTCTCACTTTCAAAATTTGAAAGTCTATTTCTTTCTTTATCCCCAAACACTTCTCTCACTCTCAAGATGGCCCACCTTCTCCCTTGAGCGTGTATTCCTTGCTTTCCTAAATAAAATTCTGTGCCTATACTGATGCCATGTTGAAATTCTTTTCTATGGCATAGGTCAACGACCCTGCTTGTCCTGAGTTGAGTAGCCCCTTCTTTGAGAATTTCTAATGACCCTATTCCAGAGATATTTTTCCCCTGGTGACAGAACCACCATATGACTGAGCTATAGCCCTCTTGGTATTTATCCTAAGGAAGTCAGCATAGGACAAAGATACACGCATACCCCTGTTTAAAGCAGTGCAACTCATGATAGCCAAGTCAGGGAACCAGCCTAAGTGTCTGTCAACAGATGAATGGAGAAAACAAATGTGAGTATATATACACAATGGAGTTTTTTTATTCAATCATAAAGAAAAATGAAATTGTCATTTCTAGGAAAATGAATGGAACTAGAGAGCATAATGTTAAGCAAAATAAGCCAGGCTCAGAGAGTCAAAGGTCATATGTTTTCATATGCAGAAGCTAGGGAAAAAAAAAAAAGATCTCTTGAAAATAGAAGAGAGACCAGGGGGTCATGGAGAAGGGGAGCTCAAGGGGAAGTACCTGGGAATGAAATTGATCAAATTATGATATCTGCGTGTATAAATATGTCACAATGAATTCCACTATTATATATAATTATTATGTATATATATATACATATATATATATATACACACACACACATATATATATATATATATTTTTTTTTTAAGAAAAGATTCCCTATAAGCACTTACTATGTCCTGATCTAGGCTGGCATTCTAATGGCCCCTACCTCCTAGCCAGCTCTAATTCCACCATACCCAGGTATTTGCCTGTACCTCTCTTCTTCTCCAGTAGAATACTCAGATGCTGTCATAGTCATATTTTATTCATAAGGTTTTTTGGTTTTGTTTTTGTTTTGTACTGGGGATTGAACCTTATCTGAGAATTTCTCATGACCTGGGGTACTTAACCGCTTGGCTGTATCCACAGCCCTTTTAATTCTTCATTTTGAGAAAGGGTCTAAGTTGCTTAGAGACTCACTAAATTGTTGAGGCTGGCCTTGAACTTGCAATCTCCGGCCTCAACCTCCCAAACCACCAGTGTTACAGGCATGCACCAATATGCCCAGTGGCAGTGTTTCTTAAAATATGTGTACTAGGAACACTAGGGTGCTTGTAGACTCAGCACTCTTAGGTCTAAATGCAAACCCACCCTAAAACTGATTTACTAGATCTGGAGTGAGGGCCCAGTAATTAACATTTTTGCAAGTACTCCAGGTGATTAATGAAGATGGCCCACGCCTCACTAACACATCTGAGACAAAAAATACTTTGGGCATCTTTGCATATCAATTTAAAAACCTTTGTACTAAGATGCTCAGCAAAATTCTGCCTATCTTTGTAATAGAAAGATTAACTTCCAGCTGGGCATAGGCTAATCAGGGGGCTAAAGCAAAATAATTGCAAATTCCAAGGCCAACCTTGGCAACTTGGTGAGACTTCATCTAACAATAAAAAGGGCTGGGGATGAAGTTCAGTAGTAGAATGCCCCTGGGTTCAATCCACAGTACCAAAAAATAAATAAAATGAAATAAAATAAATAAATAAATAAAACACTGCCCAGGTGTTAGGTCAGCATGACTACAGATGCCATTAACAAAACACCAAAGTTTTTCCAGAAGTGGAGAATGTATTTGTTTCAAGAGATATTTACAACTTGCTAGTTATCAAATGTTTGCAAAATCAAAATAAAATGAAATCTCAAACCTGGAATCTACAACTTTGTAAAGAAATATAGGGCTAAGCAGCGAACTGATACTTTCATGTTCTTTTCATATCATTACAATATTAAGACTCCACACAGAAGCAGGATCAAGTACAAGAAGTATTTCTCTCATTTCAAGTGGTTTAGAAGTATTTGCAAAAATAAAAATGATAAGGTATGCAAATTATAGAGCAACCAACCATTTAAACTACCATACAACCCTATAATCTAATAATTCCCAGTTTATTTACTATTTTACGTACTTCTATTAGTATAGAAGCAAAGAAAATGAGCAAGTTAACTTGGGTTTATTAAGTACCTACGACTTTGCATAAAGCACTTATTTCTCTGTGAGGGACGCATCCCTTTCACTGTTTAAATGAAGAAACTGGCACTCCAGCGATACACAGATAAGTAGCTCGGTGTGAGTCAATCTAGCCTCCTAATCTGTTTTCATTGTTAGGAAGATTTCCCGTCTCCCTTCCACCTGTCACTTCCAGCTCATCCATCTGTGTCAATTTCCATAAGCGTTTTCCAACTCTTTTTAACCACTCCGGGGATGCTACAGTGCGCCACAGTCCCTTTCTTGCCTCAGACTCCCGGCCAGGGTTCCAGAACAAGGGAAGAGTGAAGACGGATAAACAAAGGGGTTGTGCCTCTTCCCAGCCCGAAGCCTCCGAGCACTGCCCTAGGCTGGCCCTAAAGCTGAGCAGCCTAGCGGAGAGGAAAACCGGCTCCCTCTTCCCGGGGACGAACTCCCGGTCGCTCAGCTAGGGCACCCCAAGGGCCTACACCGGGTTTCTAACAGCACTGAACAAAATTCCCTGCAACGGTCCTGCAATTTGCAGGTTGCAGCCGCAACCTGTCATGCAAGGCCTGATGTGACCACCAGACGGAGGCTGAAGCTACAGCAACATTTACCTCATCTTGCTCGGGCATGCCCGCTTCCGGCCTTTCCGGGTCGCCCATCGCGCAGACTCAGCCAGAGCTGCCGGAGTGCGGCAGGCCAGCACCTAACTAGGACAAGCTCCAGATGACCCGCGGGTCGGCCAAGACCGACCCGCCTAGCGCCTCCAAAACCCGCCCCTCTGCGCAGACTGGGCTTTCTTCCAAGCGCTTGGAGGGACTTTCCTTGAGCTAGGCCTGCTTCGCCCCGCCCCCGCCTCAGGGAACCGCCTACCTCGGCCGGCCCCGCCTCACTCCACTGAGCCGGACCCGCCCCCTGCCTCGGGGACCGCCCCCTACCCTTGGTCGGCCCCGCTTCAGGGCCCCGCCCACCCCAGTCGCCAGCCTACCTCAGCTGGCTCCGCCCCTCAGCCTGCAGCCTGAGGGAGTCTCCACTACACGGGTCTCTATTGTAGGATCTGTCCCCCTCTTTGCACTGTTGAGAGTCGCCTCCTGCTCAGGTCGGCTTTGCCCACCCCGCCTCGGGGCTCCGCCCACCATCTTTGGCCCCACCTCACTGAACGGGCCTCACCTCCCACGTTCCCAAGGAAGGACTCAAAGCGCGCCTCTGGGCCACGCCCATCTTTCCTCAGGGCCACGCCCCTCCTGCCCCCGCCCTCCACAATCCATCTGCCCTCTGGCGCGAGGACCGGGTGCCTGCCGGCTGCCAGCCGCTCTTGACCCGCCCCCGGCTCTCCTCACCTGGTAGATGCCCCGCATGCCAGGTCAGAAGTCCACAACTAGCCCTAGTGGTGCCCCAAGAACACGGTAGGTTGCGCTGACTTGGCTGGTCCTGAGAGACTGCCCGGCGGCTGGAGGGCGTGTCACAGTGTGAGGCGTGAAGAACGCGCTGATAGGTGTGACTCGGTGGGGAAGGGGGAGTCACAGCGTTTAAAAGTTAATGGAAAAAGTTGGCATGTTTTGCATTTCAGCGACCGTAAAGAGGAAGTGGTAGCGGGGGAAGTGTGTGTGAAATGGGCTTGAGAACGAGAAAGGGGAGAATCTACTAAATTCAGGGCAGTATTTTGAAACCTCTTTGAAAACGTTTCAACCATCAGTAATATTGAGCTTTCAGAAAATGCCAGCACCTACAACAGGCATCTTATACAAAAAATATAAATTATTTAATGTCAGGACTTGACTGCAAGGTAGATATAGCAGTTTCCCTCCTATCACAAAAGAAGAAACTGAGCCTTAGGATAAGTAATTAAGAATAATCCAGCTAAAAAGTAGTAGACTCCAAAGTCTCCCTGCTGCATGCTTTTTTCAAAGCCAATGATTAAAGTGGTGGAGAGGGCAACACTCCGGTGTATTGTAAGGGCAATAGACAGTGGCTACTGACCGTGACAACAATTTGTTTGAATTACTAATTACTGCTCTCAGTTATCTAAAGATAACTACAACAGAAAGAAAAAAATAGTTTGGTTTAACAAAATTAAGGTGAAAGAGATTTAAGTAGATTGAAGCCGAAATGCATACACCTGTTTTGTGAATAGCTGTCTGAAGTAAGGTAAAGTAATGTAGAAGTTTTATGTGAACTTTGAAAATGGTTTGAAAGTCCCTTCTAAAACCTAGCTTAGAATGGGGAAAGAAAACCTTTCTTAAAAGCAACTAGTAGAGATTAAATGCTAGGTGAAAATTTTTATAGATATTAATTTTAAATTATAGTCAAACAAATTCTATTAGGAAAAGGAGACATAGGCCCCATGACAAACAAACTAAGAGGAGGATTCATTCATTTACTTAATGTTATCAAAGAATTTGTCTACTATGTGCCAAGCATCATGTTAGGTTATTGAAAATACAAAAATGAATGAACTCAGTGAAAACATAGACACTGAAACGGTATCATCATGGGTATGAATTCTAGTTCCCTTATTTATTAGCTGTTTCCTTGGGCAAGTTACTTAACCTCTTTGAGACTGTGTGGATTTAATGATATCTCATTTATGCAATACTTCCTGGGATAGGAAATTATCTTGGGTCAGCGGAAGTTTCCAAGTACCCTACTAGTCAGGCCATCCCAGAGATCAAGGAACAGAAAGGCTCAAATCAAATTGAGATATTGAGTCACAGTTCATTAATTTTTTTTTTAATTTTAAAGAAGGTGACATTGACTTGAAGGGAAACTAGGATTTTTTTTTTAAATGGGGATTTAACCCAGGGTGCTCAAACACTGAACCATATCCCCAACCCTTTTTATTTTTGAGACAGGGTCTTGCTAAATTGCTTAGGGCCTCACTAAGTTGCTGATGCTAGCTTTCAATTTATGAGCCTCCTGTCTCAGCCTCCCTACCCTCTGGGATTACAGGTGTGCTACACTTGTATGGAAATTAAGATTTTTTTAAAAACTTATCCCTATTTATAGACAAATTGACCTACATTTTAACAGTTGCATACAAAAAAAGTCATAAAATTGTTCCTGGGCATGGTGGTCCATACCTGTAATCCCAGCTATTCAGGAAATTAAGGCAACAGGATGGCCAACCTAGGTAACTTAGCAACATCCTGTCTCAAAAAAAAAAAAAAAAAAAAAGAGCTAAGGATAAGGTTTTTTGTTTTGTTTTTTTAAATATTTCTTTTTTTAGTTGCAATGAATCTTTTGTTTTATTTATTTATATCTGGTGCTGAGGATTGAACCCAGGGCCTCACACATGTCAGGCGAGTGGTCTACCACTGAACCACAAGTTTTAAAAGAGCTCAATGGTACAGTGTCCCTGGGTACAATCCCCAGAACATTAATAAATAAATAAATAAACTTGCTTTTGCAATGATAAATGAAACAACAAAAACCCTCCAGACAAGATGTGTAAGGATTTTGGGGAGGGTGTGTATATGAAAATAGAGCAAAATGATTTGGAATATAAAGAGTTAAGTGAATATGACACTCACTAACAAGGGTTTTGAACAGAACCAATATTTTCCCCCGTGATGTTGATCAAAACATTTACTTTATAGACAAAAAAATAAATTATAAATGTTGGAGGGGATATATACATTCAATCTGACACATTATACAATGCATACATATATCAAAATATCACACAGATCCCATTTTTATATATATATATATATATATTTAGTGTTCTTGTTTTATGTATCAGTTTAAAATCAAATAAATTTTTTAAATGTTAAAAAAGTAATATGCTTATGCACATATAACAATTTATTTATGTTCATTAATGATTTGGGAAAGGGGAAATAAAAAGTAGAGAAAACTATATCATTAGTAGTCAAGCTGAAGTAAACCAAATTGTAGTTGAATTATAGTAGAATCTAACTGAGAATGTATTTTTGGTTTGCAGGAACATAATTCTGGAATAAAGCAGGAGATTCCCTTTTTAGTAGACATTTCCTGTCTGCTGTTGGAACACATCAATTGTATCTTCCATCTCCATTTTTATTTATTTTTTTTCCATCTCCATTTTTAATTGTGCAGGTGTGTCTATTTCATTGTCCACCATTCTAATCTGCTTCATTGACAAACCTTGTCATTCACATAGGCTTTCTGTAGTTTACTAAGCAGTTTACTGAGCCTCTTAAACTGCACCACAGAACTATACTGCCCCACCACCTTCAAATTAGTATGATCATAGTTCTCAGTCTTGACTCCTTCCTTGGGCTTTTTGTCAGATATGACCAGTACCAGAGTATCCTCAGCTGCTGCTTCACAAAAGAGGTACCAGCCACATGTGGTGGCGCATGCCTATAATCCCAGTGGGGGCTGAGGCAGGAGGAACCAGCCTGAGCAACTTAGTGAGGCACTTAGCAACTCAGAGAGACCGTGTCTCTAAATAAAACACAAGAAGGGTTGAGGATGTGGCTCAGTGGCCAAGTGTCCCTGGGTTCAATCCCTGATACCAAAAAAAAAAAAAAAAAGTGTAGACAAAAGAGGTACCAGGTCAACATCTAATAAGGATATAAGCAGCACCCTATCAAAACATAGCAAGGGGAAAGATATGGGGCAGGCTAAGGGGCCTGTAGGGAATGGAAGGATTACAATTTCTGAATCTTGTTTTCTTTTCATTATGTCTGAATCTTGTTGCTACTCTTCATGTCCTATCTTTGGTAAATCAGCCTTCTTTACTGGTGGTGTAATTATGAGGACCAGAATTGAGCATGAGCAAGAGCATTCAGCAGACAGAAGGTGATGCCAACATTCTTGCTCTTTTGGAGAGATAAGTATGCCTGGTCACAGCTTGCCATAAATTAGCCTGCTAAACAGCGGTGGGTTGTATCTGTTTCCTAGGCAGAGCACATGTGGGACAGAATGGATTTCACCAATGGGTGGTTGTCAATCTGAAAGTGACATGGTCCTTGTGAATATTTAAGGTGCTAGAGGTGTAGTTTAGCAGTAAATTGCTTGCCTAGTATGTGTGAGGCCCTAGGTTTGATTCCCAGCCCCCAGTTAAAAAAAAAAAAAAAAAAAGATTTGGTCCTTCTGAATATTAATGGCACTCTAATTTGTCCCATTTTTATTATCTATGTTCAACATAAATATGTTCCATTTATTCTGTCTTTGATTTGCCCCCAAAATCAATAACTTGTTCACTATTTGCATTTAATGTATCTTAAAGATCTCATATGTTTCACAAGCTATTTGCTCCCGTATTTACTACATTAGTTTTCCATTGCTGTGATAAAATACCTAAGATACACAACTTAAAGGAGGAAATGTTCATTTTGACTCCTGGTTTTAGAGGTTCAGTTGACTCCATTGTTTTTGGACAAGTGGTGAGGAAGAACTTCATGCCAGGGAATGTGTAGTAGAGCAAAGCTGCTCACCTCCCCAGCTGCTAGAAAGTGAAAGGAAAGGAGGAGGAGTCAGGGGTCCTATAACCTCCTTCCATTAGATCCCATCTCTAAAGGTTCCACCACTTCCCAGTAGTGCCACAGCTGTCAACCAAGTCTTTAGCATGTGCATCTTTGGGGGACATTTAAGATTCAGACCATAATACTACATTTCTTTCAATTTCTATAGCAAAATTGAATATTCATAAATAATACATTAAAAACATTATAATGCTTATAATAGCATAGACAGTATATATTTCCGCCAGATGTTTAAAGTAATTGGGAGAACAAATACAAAAATTAAATGTGCAATCAAAAGATCTCTGGGAATAAGAGGATCCTACACCTTTATGTAGTCTTGATGGCAAGTAGTATTTTCCAAAAATGGTCACAACTATATTTAGACCCACATGTCATTCTAGAATTGTGATACACATT